TGGCCGAGAGAGGGGCATCCTCACCATGGGACGCTCGCTTTGTAGGGCTTTCCAAGTCTGCATCATCATCTTCTGGTACGCATGGAGCCGCATTAACGGGGCTGCCAATTCCATGCCCTTCGTCATCTCTTTTCCTTTTTTCCTGCTTGACATCCATGTCCTCTTGTTCTTCATCACCCTCCGCAATCTCGGTGGGGGAAGGGACATCGAGCATCGGAACATCAACAGGTTCGGCCATGATGATCACGAAGGGCAAGAGGAGAAAGGGAAAGCCTGACAAAGTCACCCCTTTTGCGCGTCACCAGGTTCAAGTCAAGAGCCCAACCTCAACCCCAGACAACGGTGGCGAGCCTTCACCCCGGGCAGAATCTCGTAATCCGCAAAGAGCTGCTGGCCGCCACTTCACCCCGATGAAGGGCAGAATCCGGTAGAAGACAAAGAGCCTCTGGCCGCCGCTTCACGGTGGGAAATGGCAGAATCAGGTAGAAGACAAAGTGCCCCTGGCCGCCGCTTCACCGTGCCCACGGGCAGAAGCAGGTAAATGAGGACCGTCGGCAGGTCGCCCCTTTTCCTCACACACTGAAGCACTCGACCGGCAACCTTTTGTCCTGGCACGGGGCAGGTACGAAAGAGGTCTCGAGCATATGGCTTGAGCCAAAATGGCTACGGCTCAAGCAGGGTTTAGGGTTTAGGGTTTGAGGGTTAGGGTTTAGGGTTTAGGATTTAGGGACTTTGTAAGTCAGTAATACGGAGAGAGTGGCATCCTCAGGCTTTAAGATGGGGCCATCGTGCCTATGATCTCACTGGATTGAATAGCTATCTAAGGGCTTTAGGAGGGACCCTTAATAGGGACTCTTGTAGGTTACTGGGGTTAATATGGAGGCTACTTGGCTATATAAGGGGTATATAAGGACTAAACAATGGTCATTTAAGGTAATGGGATTAAGGGNNGTCCCTCCTAAAGCCCTTAGAAGCTACGCGTGCCATGCCCCGACCCTCTAAGTACTGGTTCTCAGGGAAGCGGGTTAACACATGGGGGTGGCAATAAGGGGTTACTATCAGGGTTCCGGTTGGGGCTACCCTAAACCCTAAACCCTAAACCCTAAACCCTAAACCCCTAAACCTTAAACCCTAAACCCTAAACCCTAAACCCTAAACCCCTGAACCCTAGACCCTGAACCCTAAAGCCCTAAGCCCTAAAGCCTTATAGTTTGGGAACTATTCCTTCTTCGTACCGTAAAGCTGAGGATTCAGGGTCGAGGCTTGAGGCTGCAAATACCCAGAGAACCCAATACCCCTTAATCAAGGAATATACCTTATAGGGGTTTAGGGTTTAGGGTTTAGGGTTTAGGGTTTAGGGTTTAGGGTTTAGGGTTTAGGGTTTACATAAGATTAAGGCATATTCCTTAATTAAGGTGTATTGGGTTCTCTGGATACCTGGATACTGGATGGCTCAGCTCTTGAGCCGTGTAATATAGGGGGCCTGAACCCATAGAACCCGATACCCCTTAATTAAGGAATATACCTTAAATTCTAGGGGCCTTAATATTATGATTTAAGCTCTATTCCTTAAGTAAGGGGTATTGGGTTCTCTGGGAATAATTAGCATAGGGCTTTGGCGGCTCCTTATTATGGTTATATAGTCGTTATCTAGTAAAAGATAGCCCAAGCCCTATTCCAATTATCAAGGCCCCTATATTATGACTAAGTCTTACTATAGACCCCTGGTTGAATAAAGAACCTTCCTTCAAGGGCCTTCGTATTGGAATCCCTGCTATCATCTCTCTTAAGGGAGAGGGCTTTATTCATCACGGCTTTACCTTATCCTATCGAATGGGCAACTGGGAAGTGTTGACCTCAGCACCTGAGCCTCCGGCGTTAGGAGCGTGGGTTTAGGAGTTTTGGATGTGTGGACTTCAACGCGACTTATAGGTTTGCGGGTCTATGGTTGGGGGTTTTGGGTTCCAAACTCTATGACTCGTGGTAGCTTGTTATCATGAACACTTGGTGTCTTCTCGCCCAAGCCTTACATTACGCTACCATGACCTACTGTTCGTGGATGGACCTAAGTCCTGCATCAGTATGCATGTAGACTCAGACCTCCCAAAATACTCGGATGATGTAGTAGAAGCTCAGCCCTAAACCCTGAACCCTACACAGCTGAATGCCAATATCCCTAAACCCTAAACCCTAGAAAAAAAAAACTACACCCTAAACCCTAAACCCTAACCCTAAACCCTGAACCCTAAACACCAAACCCTGGATTCCAAAACCTGAATCCTAAAACCCTGAGCCGCGTAAACCCAAAGCCCTAAGCCGTACACCCTCAACGCTAAACCATAAACCCGAAAGCCTACCCTACACACTAAACCCTTAGCCCGTAAGCCCTATACCCTAAACCCGATAAATCTGAAGCCGTATACTACCGTATACCCTGCACCCTAGAAACAGATCCCAAACCCCAAGCCCCCATACGCCATATGCCCTAGACCCTAAACCGAAAGCGGCATAGCGCGGACCCTAGGCCCTAAACCCAAAGCCGTATACCCTGAACACTAAGCCCTTAAACCCTAAGCCGCTATGCACCCTGAACCCTAAACCCTAAGCCGTATACCGTAGACCCCAAACCATAACCCCTAAGCATTGCTTGTGGCTCAAAAGACCTTACCTGTTTAAGGAACTATATATATATATATATGTATATAGAAACCATAATCAGGAACCCTAAACCCTAAACCCTCCTAAAAGAAGTAGGTCTTTTCGGCTAATCCCTTTCCCCTAGTATTAAACGCCCCCCCTAACTCCCAATTCAAAAGTCATATGGGATGCTTTCTATCCCTATTTTCCCATTCGCAATAGGTTCTAAAGGGCGCGGGATGATTCAGGATGGGATTCCGGAAAGTGTTCTTAGTCTGGGTAGGGGGGGGGTGTTTCATAAAATTGGAAGGGATTACAGGAACTATACATATCATATACAGATACAGATATATGTCTATAGAAACCATAACCAGGAACCCTAAACCCATAAACCCTACCTAAACCCTCCTAAAACAAAGTAGAACCCAAAATCCTAGAACCCTAAATCCTAAATATTAGAACCCTAAACCCTAAACCCTAAACCTAAACCCTTAATGCAGGTTGGGGTGGCCTCCTTCGGCGTCTCATATGGCAAGTCGATCAGGTAGTCCACGTCTGCGGCGGTCGACCTTTGCTTAGCTTTAGGGATTAGGGTTCAAAGCTTAGGGTTTAGGGTTCAGGGTTTAGAGCTTTGGGTTTAGGGTGTAGGGTTTAGGGTTTAGGGTTCGGGTTTTGGGTTTGGGATTTCGGGTGCTTTCATATTTGGGTTTTGCTTTAAAGTCGAGGGTGCCCTCCTTTTTTCTCCGTTGAGGCAATCACGGAACAGGGGTACATGTAAAGCTATAACACCGAGAATCCATATATACTACCATTATGGAATTAGGTCCCAAAAGACCATTCATGTTAGGGTCTGGGGGACTTCATTCCATGATGGTACTTGACTGACTTCTGAACCCCTCCTAAAAGTTAAGCTTTTAGCGTACATATTGTAGTCCATAAAGAAACCCTAAAAGTTAAAGTCCTAAGAGCCAACTAGAAGAACGCCAAGAGTATATATGGACCCTCTGGGTACCGGTCGCCATCTTCTGGAGGTATACGTAAGTCCTTTGGCAAACCCCTGGTGTCAGAAAACTTACAGGTTCCTGATCATGGATCGGGATTAGGGTTTAGGGTTTGGGGTACGGTGTCTGCAATAGAAGCTTCAATGATTAGAACAAGGTTTTGAGGCATCTTAAAACTATAAGTATACTATTGCACCCTAGGGTTTTGTAGAAAGGATACTGTTCGACCCCTATGTTAACACTGAATGGTCGTGGAATGCGCTTGCTGCTTGAAGGAACCCGTAAGCCTATACCCTAAACTCTTCAACCCTAAATGTAAACCCTATAGACCCTGACCCCAAACCCGAAACCCTAAACCTAAACCCCATAAGCCCTAATATAGGGGGCTAAATAACTACCAATACTATGTTGGGTGTTCCTTATTATACTTATAGCATAATGGACCCCGAAATCCTATTCTAGTTCTTAAGGCCCCTTTATTAAACCCTATAAACCCTAGAAGCCCTAAACTCCTAAACCTTATCACTCCAAAACCCCTGAATTAAGGAATATACCTTAAATCATACTAGGGATCCTAGTAAAATTTAAAGCATGTTCTTTCATTAAAGGGGTTTCGGAGCCTTCCAGGAACCATGGCTCCAACTCCGGATGCAACCTATTGGTGGATCCTGAACCCGGGGATCCCCGAAACCGTGCAGCTGTGCTTGCAGGCTTCCTGTTTAGGGTTTAGGGCTCAGGGTTTAGGGTTTAGGGCTTTGGGTTAAGGGTTTAGGGTTTTGGGGCTGAGGGTCAAGGGTCTAGGGTTTAGGGCTTACGGTTTAGGGTTTAGGGCTCAGGGTTAAGGGTTTAGGGTTTTGGGGCTGAGGGTTTAGGGTTTTGGGGCTGCGGGTCTAGGGTTTAGGGTTTAGGGCTCAGGGTTTAGGGTTTAGGGCTTAGGGCCTGCCTAGTCCCCATTGTAATTCTTATTTTCAGCCTAAGAAGTCCCCTAAGGGTCCATGTACTCATGTAGTATATACATTGGCCCCATTTAGGGTTTAGGGTTTAGGGTTTAGGGTTTAGGGTTTAGGGTTTAGGGTTTAGGGACTACTTTAGGGCCAAAGTATCTATTTGGGTACATGGACCCTCAGCGTTCTATGTTTGGGATCCCATAGTCACCCAAAAATTAGAGGCAACGTTTCTTCAGCAGCCCACCGTGACTTGGTGTGGAAGAAAAAGCCAGATGTCCGGCTCGGAAGGGAAGATAAGTAGCGCTTCGGGCAGGGTTTAGGGTTTAGGGTTTAGGGTTTAGGGTTCAGGGTTTAGGGTTTAGGGTCTAGGGTTTAGGGTTTAGGGTGATTTGGCCCACCTGTCCCGGTTGAGGGAATCAGAGTGACAGCATGTTGCTGTTGCTCCCTACCTAGAGACTCCGAAACCCCTTGATCAAGGAAAACCCCGAACCCTCAACTCACGTAACACCATGCCCCTGACTGCTGTCTTGAAGGAACTACAATGGAGACTAAAACACTAAACCCCTAAACCTAAACCCTAAACCCTAACTATAAACCATACAAAAAACTAAACCCCTAAACCTAAACCCTGACCTTTAAACCCTAAACCCTAACTGTAAACTATAGGCACCATTTGGCAGGGTCTAGGGCTACGGCTACAGGAGCCTACACCCCCAAACTCTGAGCCAGCAAACCTCCTTGGAGGATCATGGGACTTAGTATTGAACGTTATAGCTACCTTACCTGTTGTTATAATTACTTATAAGTATAGGTACCTGTTATAGCTTGTTGTTATAATTACTTATGTGTAAGTATAGTCATCTTATGTATAATCCCAGCTACTAAGTCCCATGGTCCCCCAACACCCTCAAGAACTAAAGCCCGAATTGCATAATGCAGGGGCCTTAATAATTAGAAAAGGTTTTGGCGCCCAGTATACTGTATTTATAATAAGGAACCCCCGAAATAATATAGGTAATTATTTGGGCCCCTATATTAGGCCTTCATACTTAGAACCCGGCCTTCGGGTATGGTGTAAAAACAGTTAGAATAAAAGAAGACGACAAGGAGCCCTGACGAATAGGGTCAGTAGTTCTTCCGGCTTAGGGTTTAGGGTTTAAGGAAAAATCCTCAACGCTAAACCCTCAACCCTTCACTCTTGAAAGCTCCTGAGCACACCCCAACTAGGAAAGTTTAGCTATCGAAATACTTAGAGTTTGGGATTTAGGCCTTGGCGCTCAAATCACCGAACAACCAGCCCCCATCACAGGTTTTGGAGCCTGATTCCAGAATGGTCGTACATGTATATCTGGACCCTCTAGAGAAGCCATGTAAAGACCCTAAACCCTAAACCCTAAACTCTAAACCCTAAACCCTAAACCCTAAACCCACTGCGCTGAGAGCCAAGTCCCCCGCAGTCGCCGGAAGGCTTCCATGAGCGCCTCGTAGCGACGAGTTGGAATGCCGGGTTTAGATTTGGGTTTAGGGTTTAGGGTTTAGGGTCTGGGGTCAGACTTACTTCCCAATTAGCCAAGGAAATAAAAGGTCAAACTTTCAGATTACTACTAAATTTTAAGAACCCAAGAAGTTTAAAGGTTTGGTAGTGAGAGCTTCTAATTTTCCAAAGTTGGGGGCCGCTGTCAGAGCGTGATGGTCTTGTTTGGGTGGGAACCCAAAAGGGCGATCTTACATAAGTACGGTTGATGATATAACTCCTGCATTACCCATAATAAGGACTATACCATAATGTCCAGAGTTTAGGGTCCTCAAGGTAATAAACTCTAGACCCTAAACCCTTAACCACCAACAGTACCATAATGTCCAGAGTTTAGGGTCCTTAAGCTAATGCAGGATTGGTATCATCAACAGTATATGACCCGGACAGAGTCCAGAGGGGACCGCAGATGGGAAGCTGTTAGTCTCTATATGGGAGTTTCAGAAAATAGGGGACTCTAATATAATACCCTAAATAGTAGGATCCTTATTATAAGGACCCCAAAATAAGGTACCTCTTATTTCGGAAACCCCCATATGGTTTGAGGCTCAGTGGGTCTACCCTGACGTTCCAAAACCCCACAAGTAAGGCAAAAAAGCCTTAAAGATCCTACCATAGTTCGGGTTTAGGGCTTAGGGTTTAAGATATCATCCTTTATTAACACCCTTAAAGGAACCCATTATAGGGTTTAGGGTTTAGGCTTTAAGGTATATTCCTTCATGCAAGGGTTGCGGAAGATCTGGGTAGGAGGATTACAGCTTGCGGGCTCAAGGGCTTCAGACTGTGGGCTTTGGTGTGTAGGGTTTAGGGTTTAGGGTTTAGGGTTTAGCGTCTGGGATCCAAGTGCCCATAAAGGAACCCTTAAAGGAACCCATTATAGTATTATAGGGCTTAAGGCTTGAAATTCTAAAAGGGGTATGGGACATAGCTAAAAAAGAACCCTGGGTTTTCGGGCTCAGGTATGTATATACATACATATATACTATTACATACATACATACATACATA